TGTTTAATGGCAGGAAATGTAGATGGGAAGGATTATGTGCAAATGCCCTGTTTCTCTCATTTTCCTATGTCAGCAGCTATATATCTTTCTAATCAGGATAGGAAGACATAAGGGGACTACTGATATTTTGCCCGTGGCTGGACTGAATTGCTTGAAAGATCACAGGACTGCTCCTTTGAAAACATAGAATGTTAGCACATATGCTGTGGCTGTTAGTGACAAATACGGAGGGCTGTTATGGCTCAGCCTCTCGGAGTGCCTGAGATTTCAGAAGAAGTTCTAGAAGGACTTGAATTAAAAACAAAAGTAAAATAAAATACAGAAAGAAACAAAGACTGCGTTGCAACAATGACAAATAATGTATCCTGAAGTCTGTATTCATTAAATGGGACTGTTTATGGCTGCTTCTGTTCCTCCACTGATGTGTTAAATGTGTGTAAGAAGCACATAATTGTTGGTACTAATGTGGCTAAATAAAGACTGTTACCAGTGGCCACTATCACCATTTACACACATAAGCGTTTAAATTTAAATTTCAGCACATGAAAGGATTTATACTCACAACCAAGCAACATTACCTTCTGGTTTATTTAGGCAAGTTTTACTTACCAGCGATTAAAGAAGAAAGCCTGCTTTCTGGGCCAAATTACCCTCTAAACTGAGCATATTGGAGTGTGTGATATGCACACTGGAGTTGGGGCTGCCTGCAGCCCCTCTGGCAGACACTGCAACGACTAGTCCATGAACCACCTCTCAGAAGACTCTTGCAGCTTTATGCATGGAGAGCTAATGGAGAGGTGTTTCCATGGTGTTGAAGAACAGCCAGAGTTGAAGTGGAAAAACATCCTTTTAAAAAATCCTCTTTTGTCAATGCCTTTCCTTCAGCACATAGAGCGGGTTTCACCTTTAGTCAGACATTCATCCAAAATACATAAAAAGCTCACCTTGATTTGTATCAAGGAAGTTGGAAGCTGGCTACTTCACCGTTGGGTGGGTTTTTTTTAGTTCTCCCAATACCTTAGGGCAGCATCTGATTAGCTCACAGCGTCTATAAAGTCATCAGCATTTATGCTTTTTCATATACAAAAATACTGCAGGCTTTAGCCACCTAGCTTCTCAGTACTGCCTTTCCTATTATGAGGGCAGTTTGGCTCTTAAGTTTTTGAAAAATAACCTTGAAATAAGTAAAATAGCCATAGCACTAAGACTAATAGTAATAGACCAGTGGGTTTTCAGTTAATATGAAGGGATGGAATTAGGTTATTTTTTGGTATGTTTCACACGTAAATGTGGTGCTTTCCGCACACTCTTCTTTTTGCAATACATGTAAAACTATGCATGAAAGCACCTCACTAGGTGCTTCTAAATTAAGTATTTAGAAAATGAATGAGCGTTTCAAACCTTATGTTTGCACATAATTGTTGCACATTAAAGCATGTTGCACATGCTTAAAAAGGTTTTAAAGACACCTGAGTGCCGGTCTCATAGCTGTTCAGCTTCCTCCCTCCACTCCACTTTCATTTTCCCCAGTTCTCACACTATCATTATAAAATATTATACCCCAAATAGAGAAGGACTCCTGAAATTGTCTGTCGTTCTCCTGAAAAGGAGAAAATTTGTGAACAGAAAAACACCTACAAATTAGCAGTGGTATAGACAGCAAGGTTAGTTATCATATCTTGGCTGGTATCGTCAGGAAAGAAAATCTAGTGATTTGATTCTTGCTGCTGAAAAGAAGTTAAATATTAAACAGACGTCAAAATGGATGCACTTTTTTGGATGTCCTTTTTTAAATATGTTGATGAATCGTCTCACTGCATGTGTGTTTTCTCCCAGTCTCACTCATGTTCTTTATGTCAAATGACAAAATGACATTTTCTGTTGGTATATGATGCTGTCATGACTGAGAACTCTAATGCAGTATATGACAGTGAGACTGTGTGCCCACCTGGATCTTCTGGTGCTGCAGCTACAGCTCCTCAAAAGCTTCTGTTCACACACAGGCTCTGTATGTCTTGTTCACCCTCAGCACTGAGTCAGTTCAAGTACAATAAAAGCTTCTTAAGTGTAGGTTGCACACTGTGTTCCACCTAGACAAAAGACCCCAAACGTTTTAAATGATTTATCCTGATTTTTTCCACTCAGCAGAGTTTCTGCAATACTAGCTTATCTGTTACCTCAGGCAATATTTATTAGATACCTTTTGTTTGGATGAGTATGGTTAACGTAACAAATGGTTAACAAATTGAGACCCCAGAGAAGTTAAGTAGTAAAGAAGCTGTCTACATGGGTTGCTTACAAAAATATTTTAGCATATGGAAGAGAAGTATATTCATCTTCCGTATGTAGCCACATAGAAGAAAGTATGAAAAAATATCATTGCTTTTAAATGGCTTGAAGAGTATTCTTAATCTTTCCTGAAGTTTGACCTTCCATGATACATTTGAAAACATGAGTTCACCCCTACGATAAACTGCTGTAAAAGCATGATAAATTTATATACATATATATATGTAATATATACGTGTAAAGATAAGCCACAATAAATGGCATATTTAGAAAGAAAAGTAATATTCCAGATCACCATAGAAACAGTAGTAGATACAGGTTTTTTTAATGCCTTTATCAGCAGTGACACAAAGCAGTATCTGATAGATTTAGAAAATGTTAGAAAGATCAAGGAGTTAAAACCAAATCAAATTCAGAGCAATTAAGATTATTTTTTAAATCAAGGAAAAAAAAAAAAAGATCTAGCTGATTTGTTCTTTTTTTTCACTTTCCACAAAAAGGAGCTCTAACCAGTATCATTCTGGTGATAAGTGTTATGAAATAAGTATGTGCTGTGCAGCACAGCTGTGTGGTTATTCTAAATGTTCAGGAGCACCTAACAGTAAACACAAACAGTGGCTTTAAAGATATTTCTGTACTGGAGTGTACTTTGATGGTAAGAAGCTGTAACATGCTGAATTCTGAGGTTTCTGTGCAACAGAAACCATACTGTACAGAGACACTCCACCTACAGCACTGTGGTCAGAAAGTTGATTGAAAGGCATTTTAGATGCAGAAAAATATGTTGAGTTAGTACATTTTATTTTCTGTATGTTTAGCTTTTTCTAAAACATGCTTTTATATATAGATATATGTTTCAACAAATGCATTGCAATTTTCTGTAATCAGAGAAAACATTAAAGGAGTATTTGAAAGACTAGGGTTTTTTTCAGAATTGGAATGAAGTTTTGTTACCTATCTTGTTATTCATTCCAAATATCAAAAGCCATTGAGACAGACAAATTTAGAAAGAACTTTCTACCAATTAAGCATACATGAGACCAGTGCTGTGGAAAGTGTGTTTTCAAAATGCTTGAATAATTGTATTTAATGGCAATCCGTCTTTGCTTAACAGTATGTTCACAGGGGCTAAAGAGATTGAAGTGACAATAAGAGGAACAACATTCAGTACATGTTTGGGAGAATAAATGTGCATACTATTGGCACAGAGCCTCATCTTTCTGAGAGGGACTAGCAAATAGGGATTAGCAATACTTAAAGGTCACGTTTTCCATGGCCTGACATGCTGGGATTTTAAGGTAGTCCGGGGTCGCAGTTAGCATTAACTTGCATTAGGAGTGTGACAAGATAAAACAGCAGCCGTATGAACCGTGTACAGACCAATCTTCTTGCCTCAGCATTAAAGTGCAGAGGTGCCACTGCTTATGGGTATTAAGGGATGGTAGCAACAAGTGCAGGATTAGGCAGACCTATAAACTTGGTTGCGTGCCTGTCCTTGGCGTATCAAATACCTTCGCTACATGCTAAATTTGATTAATAATAGGCTTAGCAAAAGCGTATTTTCATCTTAAAAATTCTTGTCACTGAAAATTAGTGGAGGAAAAAAATGGATGTAAAAAAAAAAAAAAAAATCACAGTCGGTGTACACACTTAATGGAAATTGCATATATAAAGAAAGGGAGGAGAAAAATTCAGCCATACAATTAGTGTAAACATCTCCTGGTGGTAGTTTCTTATTCTGAGTCACATGTCTTACTGCAACTTGTAAGCTAGTGCAGAAAAAAAAAGAGGAAAAAATATTATTTGACGTGCAGGTCTTTCATTTTCAAAACAGTCCCTGTGGAAAATTACGGTTTTGTACAGAGTAACGGTATTTTTCATACTGCCTAGGTTTTGCATGATGTCAGGGCGTTAACTGGCCTAATGAGAACTCATAAACTCATCCCTATTTTTTCCTATATAATATAACCCAAAGTCCTTTGTACTAAAAGATGCCAGTTGGTATTTCTAAGTATCTAATTCAAAATGAAATAAAGTCTACTACATCTTTGTTTAGAAAGGACCTTATTTCAAAGTTGATATTTGTTGCTGGACAGCTATTCTTCATTCATGCTTTGTATTTCTCATTTCTTACATGAGTATTTGAACTTTTAACATTGGATATTTCTTCAAAAGTATTATGAGTGTGTTTATGCAAACAACATATCTGTTTCACACAACTTAAATTCTGTATGAAATAATTTCTTTCCCTAAAAATCTAGCAAGAGTTGGGGGCCATGGAATCAAAGTTAATCACTCTCAAAAGTAAGATTTTAATCCATGTGTTCAGACTACTATTTGCAGCTTAAAGTATTGGCGGGAGAGATGTATGCAATATAAAGAGTATCTGAATTGGAAAGCTACAGAGAAAGATGCAGTACCAGCACTTCATAGCGCTACTTAATGAAAACATCCCGTGCTCTTTGCCTGTAACTCAAGTTTTGTGCAATGAGAATTAGGTATATTTCCTCGCTTACATACATAACGCACACACGTACTTATATTCTATTTTGGAACTATATTTATATTTATACATTTGCCTTCTGAGCGTGTTCAATACAAAGACTACAGCGGTCACACGTTATATTTCCAAAATGAGAAGAAGGACTACAAAGATGAGCTCAGGGATTTTTTTTTGACGGACTTTTTTTTTTTTTTTTCTTTTTTTCCAGGTGACATTTACGAAGAGGAAATTTGGGTTAATGAAGAAGGCTTATGAGCTGAGTGTTCTGTGTGACTGTGAGATTGCTCTGATCATCTTCAACAGCACCAACAAACTGTTCCAGTATGCCAGCACTGACATGGACAAAGTGTTGCTGAAGTACACCGAGTACAACGAGCCGCATGAGAGTAGAACGAACTCGGATATTGTTGAGGTAAGATTTTGCGTTCTGTGAGGAGGCTTTTTTCACTTTGCTGGGAGGTACTCAAAGTGAGAGGCCTGATTGTACCCTGGAGCACACGTTATATTTCCAAAATGAGAAGAAGGACTACAAAGATGAGCTCAGGGATTTTTTTTTGACGGACTTTTTTTTTTTTTTTTCCTTTTTTCCAGGTGACATTTACGAAGAGGAAATTTGGGTTAATGAAGAAGGCTTATGAGCTGAGTGTTCTGTGTGACTGTGAGATTGCTCTGATCATCTTCAACAGCACCAACAAACTGTTCCAGTATGCCAGCACTGACATGGACAAAGTGTTGCTGAAGTACACCGAGTACAACGAGCCGCATGAGAGTAGAACGAACTCGGATATTGTTGAGGTAAGATTTTGCGTTCTGTGAGGAGGCTTTTTTCACTTTGCTGGGAGGTACTCAAAGTGAGAGGCCTGATTGTACCCTGGAGGGGACTCAGCGGTAGGAGAGCTCAACAGGGACAACCAGGTATTGGTTTGGGGGTTGGAGACGCGGCAGAGACCGAAATCAATCCAGTCTTCTCTGAGCTATGGGTTTTATCCTGCTGAGTCTCCCGTGCTCAGCAGAAACTCCTGCAATCCCTGTCCTCCAGCTTTCTGTGCTGCTTTGTCCCTTTGTCCTGTTATTCTTCTCCATGCCTCGACCACTACCTCCTCGCTGATCTCCCCCGTGTCTCCCGCTGACATGTTGCCCCGAAAAACCTGTGTGCCTTGTCCCCTCACTCCTAAAGTTATCATGCCCTCCATCCAGTAGGAACTAAAAATACATTGTAAAAGATATGGAAGGAGAAGGTTTAGAATTACTGCTTTAAGGCATCCGACTGACTCGTTTAGCCTTTTTGTTTATTTACAGAGAAGCAGGCTTAATAAAATGCAAGAAAAGTTTACTTACGAGCTGCACAGTGACATGTGTTTCAGCTACCTGACACAGAATGCTGTTACTATAATTTAATAATAACAGTATCATCAGAATGGTAGAGACACCTTGTAATTATTTAAAAAAAAATATATACAGGGCAAGTTGTATTTAGAATTACTGAAAATTACTAATTAAAATTTAAGATTTCAATTTTAAGCTTCTAATATTTGCAGAAAAGTCAGTTTAATTTATAATCACATTAAGATTCAAGCCATGCAAAATAAATGAAGGTTTCGATGATTTTGTTGTAATAGCAAAACACTCAGAGTGATATCTAAAAAATTGCTTATGTGACTTACTCAACTCCTGTTTTCAGAGCACCTCAGTGATTAGGTATCTAACAGTATCATTTTAAAAAGTATTGGAAGGATGAGGTCCTGTACTAAAGATCAGTAAAATTTTATTCATAAATGCTACTGAATACCATGGCCTATACACTTAGATTACTTCAGATCTTTTAAAATGTGTTAGTTTCAGATTTTTAAATAATCTGGATGTTATCTAAAATGGCACTTTGGTGCTTCTTGAATCTTCACCTGGGTTAGTCATGTATTTCAGACTGGCGATGGAAGAAAGTTAGTGCGTGAATCACATATAAAATGTTTTTGATGGAGAAGAAATATGGTATAATAGACATGGTTACACTTGTTACAAGATGTCACAGTCACACCACCGTAGATGGCAATGACTGCAACCCAGAAATGCACATCACTTCTCTGTCTATCCTTATGTCAACATATAGGGCAATACTGTTCTGCTTCCTTCATGATCTCCCAGCAGATTTTCTCCCCCATCAGGAGAGGATGAGGTTCTGACAGCAGAACAAAAATTTATGTGAGTTAAGACTAAGAGGAAAGTGCATAATTTCTTCCTCCTCTCCATCATCCCTTTTCCTCTCTTACTTCCAATCTCCTGTATAGACATGAAGCCTTTCCTGTCACCTAGCTCTGGTAAGCCCATGTCCTGTCCAGCAGAATTTAAATTCTGTCCCCAAAATAATGACCTGTCCTCTTTTAGCGGCAAAAAGCCAGAATATTCTTAGCAGGAAAAGTTTCCTGTGATATCTTTACTTCTTCCTGCAGGCTTTCTTGTGGGAATGGGTGAGTAAGCCAGTAGTTAGAGATTTATTACTTGCTTCACAATGAATGAATACTTTTGATCTTGAGGACTATGGTTTTTCAAGAAACGTGGGTGAAAATATAAAAATTAAAATAAAGTCTATTTTGTTGTAACTCTGAGGTGTTCAGAAAGAGCACTCTCCACCAGCAAAATCCCTTTCTTGCAAAAATGGTGGGCCACTCTGGATAGGCTAAGAGGCAGTTTTGCACGCAGACGTGTAATTTTCTGCCTATATTCAAAGTTTGGCGGGCATGCCTTTTCACTTGTCTAAAAGGAGCCAAATAAAAGTAGGTAATTGAAATAAAAATTACTTAGAATGAGTAATTTAGCAATAGGCAGACAAGGCCAAATGAAGTGTATGTTTATAGTTTTCCCCGTATGTTTTGTCAGCTCTGAATTCAGCCATTTGATCGTTTCGCTGTTAATGTTTCTCAATGTTCTGCCTGTAATGCAAAATACTTAAGCCACACCGGTGCCAGTTCTGTTCCGGGATCAAAGGAGGACTTGTGCAGGGTGTAGGTTTTGAACAAAGGTTTCATATTATCGTGCCTTTACTTGATAATTAACATCACAGCGAGGAGCACAATAGAGGAACAGAGCCCGTGACAGCGTGCAGTCTGAGAAATGGCTTGACTCTTAGCATAGTTTGGATATATTTTTAGGTACAGGATATAAATCTGCCACACATTTAAATATTTAAATTGATCAGTTAAACTGACTACATTACACATATTTTCCTTGTAGAGAGTCCATTTTTTTTTCGCTTTCAGACAGCTAGATCTCACACTTACAAGTTTTTAATCTTGTTCTTCCAGAGCAATCAACAGCAGCTGAGAATCAGACAGTATTATTAAATCTGATCATTTTCAATTAAATGACTGTTCAATAACTATATTTCAGTGGAAGAAAAGGACATCACTGTGCTCACAGATTTCCGCACAGCATTAGAGAAAGAAAACTTTTTTTGATAGACATGAAATTTTGAAATATAACTGTCAACTGTATAAAGGTCTTTAATTTAGAATCCAATTTTTGTTCACATTCAGCATAATTTTAACTATTTAGTTACTTTGTGGTTGTGGTAGAACTGTGTTATCAGTCACTAGAATGTGGTATGACTTCTTCGAACAATCTGTATTCAAGGAAAATCAAAAGAGTAGGTCTTTAATATCTAGTTAATTACTTTTAAGTTAAACTACTGCTTTTCAAATGGAAAAATTACATGAATTTTCATGTAGGTCTGGCTGAAGCTGTTAATTTTATTAAGCAGACATTTTCAGTTTAATTACTGGGATTAATTATGTTTAGCATATCTGAAGGAATAAGTCTTCCGGCCATCATTGTTATTTGAAGTATGAGAAGAAACCAAGTGTCTTACATCAACAAACATTACACTGTTTTTCAATAGAAAAAAATATTTTACATTTATTTTAATACTTAAAAATACTTTACATACTTTACTGCAAATCAACCAATTTGGTCCTACCCAATTTATAGGTATATAATCTGATTACATGTGTCATGATGTAAAATGGAGTGGCTGATATTGAGGGAATTGTAAAGTTCAGTTACTGTTATTCTTTGAGATCTTTTGGTTTAGTGATTTAAACAAATAGCTTATGCTTTCTTTACACATGTAGTGATTTTATTTACATGTAATAAATATAGCTAAGATGGTCTTTTCCAGTTGCCTGCAAATTAACATGCAATTTGGTATATCTGAGTTTTCCAGATCACAAAAATGATCTACCAGCTGAATCTGTTTCAGTTATTACCCCATAAATATACTTTACAACATCCGCGGGTAACTAAAATGTGTATTCATGAATATTTACATTCAGCACTCAAGTTTATCCATTTTAAGCAACAGTGACAATTGTGAGTTTCACCAAAATCTGTGTGGAGGTTTTATGATATGCATTAGTTCTGAAAAAAAAAAAAAAAAAAGTTCATTCTGAGACTTCTGTTTAGAGTTAACTGGATTCTTAAAACTGAAACCTTTATGTCCTCACCCACCAAACCACTCACACCACAGCCTTTCATTCAAGTTTGCTTCAGTTAAAAAGTGCATGTTGGTTGCTGGATACAGTAACTTATTTTAAGGAATAGCAGAACCAGTGCAGGGTTCCTTTGATACTGAGGAAAAAAAGATTACTTTCATTTTTGTGCTAACTTCCAAATGCTGTATGTAAATACCAACAACAATATATTCAGCAGCTGTCATTTCAAGTCCTGTGATATAATTACTGGAAGATTTGTAATTCCTTACTTTAAAACACAATTACATTTTCTCTCATTACAAAATCCTGTGGCATTTGGTGCACAGTCTCTGGTACAGAAGTGGTGTTTTCACAACCAGAGTTCCAATCTGTCCTCAGAAGTTTGTCAATAGATCCAGTTACTATCTGCTCTATCAGAAAAAAAACTTACCTTATGGGTTTGTTGTTTAACATTATCAGCACAGTTGTCTAGGAGTAGGCAATAATTTTCTTATGGCAATGAGGAAACGGGGAAGAATAAATGTCAGAGTTTTACAACAGACCAGTATGTCATGCATTATGCATTTTTTGCATTTATTTAAAACGAGGCCAGATCCTCTCCTTATTTTTTTCAAAACAGAAGTGGATGTAACACAATTTATTTTGGTGATATTCACTGCTGCACTACCGTGAGTGATGGCAATCCAGTGCCAGAGCAGTGGAAGCCCACCACTTAGGAGCTCAGAGAGGACATCACCCTTTGACTGTAGGGGATATGTTTCAGAGTAGGAATACAGGGAAAAGTTTTGCGTTTTGGCTGCAAATGTAATTACAACCCTAAGAATATTAGAGAAATCTGTTCCTAAGCCACCAAGACTTTGCTGATTTAAGGCGAAAGTTCCTGCTTGCTTTCTCTCTCACAGTCCCTTCTTCCTTGTCACCTCTTTCA